TAAACATTACATAATATTTTAATATTTAGAAATATTCAATATAAGAAATAATTGCACAAAAATTAAAAAACTTAATAATTCAATATTTTTGAAAAGTTTTAAAGCGTATGCACTACATTAGAGTAAGTGCATGTTCATTTAATTTTATAATTAGCCGTCCTCGATGGTAATAGTTGATTTTAGAAGTCCATTAATTTGAAGAAACCCAAGTAAGAAACCAAGAACGACAGGATACTAAGAAAATACCTATTGAATCGATTGTTATAAATGATCAACCAAACCTATTAATCGAGGTTATTTTTCCCAAAAAAATGCATTGTGCGTGTACATTCTGTATATATCTATATGTGTTTTGAAAATTGCATTTAAATTTATAGTCTGTTGAAGTAGATATCTTCATACTGATGCATTTTAACGTTTCACTTACATCAATATGATCATTGTACAATCAATTTATTAGAAATGGATGAAACTGATTATCAATAAAATTATCAGTCGAATGATAAATATCAAAATTCAATGTCAGTCAAAAATAATATCAATTATATTATGAAATATATATTAATAAAGAGATTAATATAAAACTTTAAAAGCAACACGTGTGTGTATGAGCAGTAGGCTTTGATTAATTGATTTATAATTGTATTATGAGTTATTACTGTGCCAAATTATTTTCGACGAAAAATGAAGTCTTGAGCCAAGAGATGTAATTTAAACTACATTTATTTGCAGACCACATTTATTTCAGAGAAAGTTTAATTAACACGATGCGCGAGCAAAGTTATAATAATCCTTAAAACTTCGGCAGATCCGTCATTATGTTAATTAGAATGGCCCACTTCGGAAAACGACACGTGGGTGGTTCGAGTGCAGACTTTCTCACAATTTACGCATTGTTACAAAATGACATATAAATTGAATTTCATTAAGTATCATGTCAATTACTCATATAATAAAAATGTCATTTTGATCTTGCATCAATTCCTTTCGAGTAAATTTTGAATTACACACTTATTATTGAAAATTTAGTTATATATTCTTATGTTATTCTAACAAAAAGATATTACATTTACAACTTCGACTATTAATATATTTATGTATCTAAATATAATTATGTAAAAATAAAGTTTAAGTTCTTTCCTTAATAATTAAAGATATTTAATACTGTGTGAATAATGTAGAATTAGAATTAAAACTAATCAGTAGAAGTATTTATTTTATTAATTGAATGTTCATGCAAAAATTTTATATAATAAAAAATACACTTTCGTAAACCAAATGATGAAAAATAATATTTTTAAAATCTTCATATGATGATTTTTATTAGATTTTTGTGACAAATAAAATAAAATTGTGATAAATGAGACAGCCAAAACAAATGCTTCAATTGATGCGTGTACATACAACACGTGGCAGACAGCTGGTTAGCAACACCAGATAAATATGTCATGTAAACACATATAAGTGAAGGGAAACATATGAAATCTGCATTTGAATGCACCTGGCTACCATTATCGTCACAGATATGGCTGAGGCAATGGACATAAAATAGAAAAGCACAAGCACTAACGAGTTTCTTATATTTGATTCGAAAATATACATTTTAATTTATTGTTAGTTTGATCCTGATAGAATCAGACGACAAAAGTAAAATTAGAAACTGTTAACAAATATTCGTTAACAGATATTAGTAAATACTTATTGTATTATTTCGCAAATGTTACAGATTTTTAAAATTTATATATATATATTATTAATACTTGTAATGATAGCAACTTTCATTTTTTTCTTTTTGTTCTATTTCAATTTATATCAATCCTTAACTCTCTGCTAGGATATTAACTCTTTCGTCAGCAATAGTGGTCTTTTAGAAACAGTGCAATTTTTTTATTGTTCCGGATTAATATAAGAATCTGAAAATATTCTGCTATACTTGTCAAAACTTTAATAAGTTTTTATCATGAAAGTCGGATTGTATTTTACTTATCTTTTGCAGTGTCCAATAGTGTCCAATAGTGTTTTTAAAGACCCTAGTTGCCAGAGGGAAGGGTTAATTATTTCGAACTCGAACTTTAATGAGTCAAAATATCGATCCTTAATTGCGCTTTTATTTAAAACACACTAAGCGTGAATATGCATGATAAATAATCTTGTAATCGTAAACAATTAACTTCAATTGAGATATCCAGACATGTGTAATGTTGTCTGTCTATAATAATACCGAGATAATAATAATTCAAGGTAATGGAATATTTAGTCGGATTATTAATTCAAATTATTAATACATTTTTAAATTGGAAATTTAATATATGTTTCAAGATATGATCAAATTTAAAATACTAGAATATGAATTTAGAAAGTGATTGTATAAAGATAAAAAAAATTCAAAAATTTAATTTAAAAATATCGTAATTAAAATTCTAATATATCAAAATACAGGGTTCTAAAAAAGATAAAAAATATTAAAATATATACATTTTCATTTAAAATTAATTTAAAAATTTGTTAAATTCTGAAACGCAATAAAAATAATAAATATTTAAATAATTTTCTGCATCTTAATCTTCATTTATAAGAAAGATCTAAAGATTTTTTAAAACAAATTATAGATTTTTTTTTGTATTATATTGCTTAACTTTTGCTGAACTATTTAGTGGTTAATGCTTTGGTCTTCGTTTTTAGTGAAATACAAGATAAATTAATACAACGGAAAAATTGCATGACGTCAAGTGATAACTGGAAAATCGTTTATCATGTGGATTTTTTACGTCTTGCATCATATACAATATTGTAGGCAGGGCGGATCCCAGGAGTGTTGCCCCACCCGTCAACACAAACTCTCTTAAAAACACGTTTCAAAATCACATTATCAAAAGCAGAAGATTGTAACATCCAATGAAATTATTCAAATAGTTATTAGTCAAACACGAAAACATTAAAGTTCTCAAAAAGCTTGCAAGTTTCTTGGAAAAATGACATAAAGAAATAAGATTTTTATAACGTATCAAATAAAATTTTGCGAAGATTAGACGGTTTCTAATTCAATGATCTATAGCTTCTATAATTATTTGATTTTCTTCACAACTGAAACATCCTACATGTGTGAACCAATTTAAAATACACATACAGAATTAAATCTTTTAAATCAAATATAATTTCTTTTTGGAGTAAAACAGCCATATTTAACATTAAATGCGCACCGAAAAAAGGCCCAAAAGAGAATCAATGGGCAGAAAGATGAATATTACGGGAAAGGAAATAATAACAGGAAAATCAAGCTACCAATACGTATAATACATACGTTTCTTCGTTCGGTCGTGTATGCTCTGTGTTTTAAGTGTGTATGTGTGTCCGTGGGTGCGTACGTGTGTTGTATAACCGCATGTATAGCTGTGTGTGTCCGGGATTCTATGATGGACTCACCCGCCAGCAACCAGGATCATCTGCATGTTGCATGGAGGCGGCCTCTTTGTTGTTTTTTCGCAGAGGGGTCAATCCGGAGCGGTGGGTCCTCTAGTTTGGCATGCGGTGACAGAATAGAGCTATAGAGTAGGTAACTAGAGAAATAACAAGAGGAATAGAAGGTCACTGCCTTGTTCGAAGTTCGAATTCACACATTGATTCGACAAGTATTGCCCTTTCTATTTATCGAAATATTTTCTCTTATAATACTATTGTTATATTCATGACAACTGAAGTATAGCAAAATTTTTTAAAATTTAAATATGTTTCTAAACATTTATATACAGTAGTACAAATAAAACAGATGTTAATTTGATTTTAGTACTAACCAATATAAATTTATAATTACTTCGAACAAGGTCAAAAGAAGGAAAACGATAGAGTAATAAGAAGAAGATTTAAAAGTAGTTTCTAAAACGAACTAGCACAATAAAAGACGAAGAGAAAAAATAGAAGTTAGATAAAAAGTTAAATAGTAAGAAAAGTAATGAGAGGAATTAATAGAGAGAAGTATACATATGTATAAACAGAATAATTCGGAATTATACTATCTAAAATTTTGGTAACGTATTTAATTTAATTGAAAAAAATTAGCTAATCAAAAGAAATTAATTAAAATCGCATTTTACTCAAATAGATAACAAAGTTTTATAAGTCTCTGTACAAAGTATTCTATTAGATGTTTAATAAATACCTTTTTTTATATACAGAATATTTCAAGAAAAGAAAGATTGGTAAGATAATATTTAAAATTAAAAAGTTTTGGTAAGCAAAGTTTCACAGCATAAATAAAGAGAAGTTCTTTTATAATTAATTTACACAACAATTTTTGCTTAGTTAAACTGATTTTGTATTAACAATTTTTTTTAGTAAAATATTTAAGAGATGTACATTTAATTAAAAATACCAAATTTAACTGATGAATTAAATATTTAAAATAAAACAATTTGAATATGTGTGTATATGTTCTAAATAAGTTTAAAAAAAAAACAAAAATTTTTTCTACATTTTTTAATTCTCCTTATTATCTCGAATATTCTAAAGCGTTCAAATGTGTTAAATTTCCTGGTATCACCAAATTTTCCTGTCTATCGAAAGGCCTATAATAGAATTTTAATGTTATAATTATAAGATTTTTAAATACATTTAAATAGCAAAGTTCTCTAGTTTGTGGAAAGATACTTTATATTAGAAAAAAATACACTAAAAAATATTACTATCTTAAATTATTGCATAATCGTAGATAATTATTGTTTTTCCCGATATAATTATAATTAAAAAACACTAAAAAATTACTATCTTAAATTATTGCATAATCATAGATAATTATTGTTTTTCCCGATGTAATTATAATTAAAAAACACTAAAAAATTACTATCTTAAATATTGCATAATCGTAGATAATTATTGTTTTTCCCGATGTAATTATAATTAAAAAACACTAAAAAATTACTATCTTAAATATTGCATAATCGTAGATAATTATTGTTTTTCCCGATATAATTATAAAAATAGTATAATGTTATTTATGTTATAAGAATTTTGAAATTAAATATTTTATTTATATAATTAATATGATTAATAAAAAAGAGATTAATAAAAAATGCTACAATTAGACTAGAAAGGATTTAAAAAAAGCCAAAATAAAAAATAAGGGAAAGAAAAAGGAGAAAGGAAGGAGAGAAAAGGGGAGAAAAAGAGTGAAGAAAAAAGGGAGGGGGAGAGGCTTTTAATATTGTGCATAATCTAATAACAGTACTCGATATAAACATTTCCCAAAGAACTAAAAGATTACTTAATGATTTCGAAATAATTTACTTTAGAACATACGTTTACGAAAGCTTATTGGATTAAAATAGCTTTTAGAATATCGTTATCTTATATATACTTCCTTTTTGTTAGAGCACCCTATATACAGCACGTTCTAGAGCTATCGCATTTCCTTTAAACCATAGAGATTCTAAGATTATTTCAAAATGACTTTTTCTTAGCAAGAAAACTTGGAAAGACATAATTACAGCCTGAGAAATTCTAAACGCTGTAGTTTATATTTTAAGCAAACCAAATTAATACGCTAAAAAAGAATTTCAATAAAAATTCCGAAAATACATGAATTATACAAAAATTCCAAATCTTAGCTAGGAATAAGTCAACATCTGAGAATCTTTGTTTAATAGAAAATATAATAGGGAGAAAATTCTTGGGAAATTCTGCATATACATAGAACTAGATGTAGATAGAGAAGGAGAGAAAAGTACAGTGGCTAACTGGCGATGGCCCAGCAGATCGCCGTGATGGCTTGCGTTATTGTACCTTCCCGCATGTTGCGTCTAACCACCACCGAAGCCCGTGTGCCACCCACACACACACCCGTCGCAGGACCTTTAACGCATCCACTTATTAACAGTATCGTTCACTATCACGATGCACTATCACACATTTGTCAATGACGACAACTACATTGATAACAATGCTATTGAAGTATTCCATTGCAACACTATGGGAAACGTTGCAAGAAGAGAAATCCGCGTTCCGAAATTTGCTCGACAACGGAATAATTAAGCACGAGACAAAGCACAGATTATCCACCGTTACTTCGAATGACTCGTAACAATCAGTTGAAGATAATTTTTTGTGACTGTTATTTAAAAATTTAATCAACTTAATATAATAATCTTCGTGTTTCTTGCGGTGCTCGAGGATGGAGAATCTGGGACAGAAAAGTGGATCAAAAAGAGGAAAAAAAATAAAATACTTATCTTCAATTATATTGTATCATAAGCAAATATCATGTAATGCCTTTTGGAAAACTTTTTCTAGGACATATTCAGACGAATCCACGCCGAAATGCGAATCTCCGAAGTGATTTGATTCCATTTTTAAAATTTTTTAAATTTGAATTCTTTTGAATATATTTTAACCTGTATAATTCAAAATAGTCTTTTGAATTTTCCATACAATTAAAAGAAAAGTAATGGTAAATTGTTGATTTATATAATTCTTTATCTGTCATTTGTCTTTATTTGTCTTTATCTATCAGAAGTCTTTTTAGGAAAACGAACAAGTATTAAAAAATTTTATACACACTATTATTCATCAATGAGTTTACAGATCGTTTGATTTTGTCAGACGTGTTCATCTTTGATCACGTTTCTTTGTTATTCTCATCAAATATCATATTGAATTCTATGTCACGTTGGAACGAATTCAAAGACAGGAAAATATATATATATAAAGAAAGAAGAGAAAACATTTTTAATGAGAATACAAGAACTATGAAATTAAACAAAAATATGAGTTATTTCTCAATTTTTTAGATTTAATATTTTAAATAAAAAAAATATCATTAATTTCTGTTTCTATAACAATTTCGATTTTTAAATACGAAAAAAATCTTTTGACCAATAATTAAAAATAATTGAAAATGGAATACTTTAAAGTACAAAAAGAATAAAAGTAGAATCTTTTTTTGAAGCCGTTAGATAATCTAATATATTTACTTAATCACTAGTTTGATTACTGTTTTATATGAAGGCGATCTAAATCTTTAAATGTAAAGTTTTTGAAAAATAAATGTTTACAGACCACTGAATCATTCAATGTCGAACGCATATTTTTGCGTATATTAAAAGATAATAAAGTAGAAAAAGTAAAATAAGTAAAATAAAACGTTTATAATTTATAAATTTTACTCGGTAAATAAACATAAATTTGTATATACACTAATAACTTGTGTTGGTTCTGAAAGTCTTTTTCATTGTATTGACATATTTATTTGGGCCTAAATTTAATTATTAATAATAAAGTAAACATATGTTCAAATAGATTAACTAAGGAGATTCAAAAAATATAATATAATAATAAAATAATAAAAAATTCCTTCAATTAAAAAAAATTCTTAAATATCAGAAATTAATTACCTACTTTCAATTATTTTCAACACGTCGTTTTATATAATAAACTCGACATCGTTATATATATTTTCATATTTGAAAACGAACAACAACGGAAACGTGATTATGCCCGCCAACCAGGCGGGTCCATCAGTCCATTCGCATCATGTGTATAAGTCTGTCTAAATCACGTTTATCATTCTATTAACAAATTCATGGATTTCCGATTTACATAAACCGGGATTCTAGAACAGGACAAACTGCGATGATGAGGAGAACCTAAATTAAAATTGAATCACAAAATTGAAACACCAATAATGGCACACGATATGTTATTCTCAGTTACGGCCGGGTCCACCTCGATAACCACGTTGCTGCGACTGCCTTGCGTAACCTTGTCGATCACTAGCAAACGGAGAGTGCGTGCCGCCTAAAGCAGCACCGGGTAGAAGCAGGTGGGTAGAAGAGGAGTTCGAGCCAGTAAAAAGAGAGGGGAGTGTGAGCGATCACTGTCACAGATCACACTACCCGAGTCTCCGCGGAGTAGACTGGTCCGCGAAGAGAACACGTTTCGAGCCGTAGCGAGTCCGGTGGGTTTCTGAATCACCGAGTAGTGCGTGTCAGGACGCCAGTAGCGGCCGGATATGTGGTGGCGGGAGGAACGGAAAAAACGAGAAGGCGAAAGAAAGAGAAAGGGAGACGAAAGATGGGTGGGAGAGAGACGCGATGATACGCGTTTAGGCGGCAACTTTGAGAGCTTCGACGTAACACTCCCGTCTCGAACCGCACGGACAGACCGTGCGTGGTGTCCACGAATGGTCTACGTAGGGTGAGAGATCGGGTGCGACCCCCGGTGGGACGTCCGGGTGGCAAAGATACAGTGGAAGGCGCCGGTCGAGGAACACCGCCAGGAACCGCCGCGGCGTTCTGCGGAGGCGCCACCGTGACTGCGAAACCTCTGTCCCCTCACCCTTTCAGGAGTTAGAGTTGGTTGCGCGGTGCACCCCTATTCATGTCGCGTGTATGCGCGAGCGCGCGTGTGTTGCATGTCACATACACGTAGCATACCCTGACCATGATCGTCAAGTACGCTTGTGTGTGTATGTGTATGCGAACGGATATGTGTTTGTACGGAAGAGAGAAGTAGGTGAAATCCACCTTCTCTCTACCTACCTACCTATCCCATACCCCACCCCATCCGCAGCCCGTTCGTGCTGCTGCTCGTGCGTGGGCTTTCGCGGCCATCGAAGTCGATATCCACCCCCGCCCCGACCAGTAGCTCGCGTATTATCCTCAAATGTTTCTTTGACAGTCATTTTAGGGATTCTCAGTGTCCCAACTTCCCTTTCCTCAGCTCAATCCTCTTTCATTAATATAATTTGTAATTGTCATTATTCTTAAGTCATCTGTTTGTTTCTTGTCTCTTAGAAGATATTCATTCTTTTACTTCCAGCAACTGTTATAGTTTCGGATAGAAATGGAAAGTAGTATAACTATATTTCTTCTATATATAGAATATTGTTAAAAACAATATGAATTATATAGATTAATTCATTATCGAAAATACTAAGAAATGTAACAGGATTAATTACGGGTTTTTAACAGAAAGAAAATAATCTTTAGAATTATATACATATAAAAGAATTTCAACTATTCAGTCTTCGCGCACTAAATCATAAATATATTTTATATTATATATATAAATAATTAAAAAATTGGAATAATTTCACTTTCACACTAATGATAATTTTGTTTTTGAAACATATATATAATTTCGACATTTAAATCGGAATCTAAACGAGATAAAAATTTGAATGAGAACTAAATAATTTGATAGAACATGATTTTGTATAAATAAAATTTAAACTCATTGATTTGCGAAAGCTTTCGAAGTTTATTTGATTCATTGTAATGTCGAAGATTTCCTTATAGTATTCGTAGATCGTAATTAAATTAATCGAACGAGAATATTGTTGCAAAGAAAATATTGTTCATCAATGGTACAATTCAATATCCAAGACGAGCTTATTAAATAGATTCTACAGAAAACGGAGTAAAAACAGTCTTTGGTTTTAAAATGACTTTTATGTATTGTAAATTTTAATACGTGATTTTCGACTAAACATTCGCAACCCTCATTCTATTTCCAAGCAAAAAATTCTGCGAAAAGAGCTTTCGACCCTTCTGAAGTTCAGAGTAAAAGTAAATATCACATAAAAGCGAAAAGCTGTTTAACCATTAAATCTCTGCTTAAATCTGTCTAGACACAGAATATTTTTTATTAAATAATAACCTTCAACTTATTAAAAATATTCAAAGTTCTTCAAAGAAAGTTTAAGTAAAAAAACAAATTTTATCGATAAGTTATTTTAAACGACAAATTGTTATAAATACTTAATAGCTATCTAGACTTTCCTAATTTTAAGCACCAATGCCTCGCCGCAGAGGATATTCCTACTCGACTTAGAATAATCGAAGTAATTTCCAACGTATCTTAGGAAATACGTCACGATCGAACCTAATCGAATGATATAGATCTGCAGAGTGAAATTTATATTTCATTATAATATATATTTTTCCATTATGTAGGTTCAGTACTAAAATATCGCTTGTCATAGCTTTTACATTATATTACATTTAAATAAATAATTAGTATAGTATGATTTAGTATAATTTCATGTGCATCTCAGTTAGGAGAAGTTAAGAATTTTTTAATCTAAATTATAAGAGAACAAAATGTTTAACTTCCTTTATGCAGAAAAAATTTTTCAGTATTTTTCAGTCAGATTCAATGTCAGATGACAAAGAATAAACGGAAATGTTATGTATGTACGCCATCCAGCGGACAACTTCAGAAGCTAAATAACCACGTTGCAAGTTCCGCAAGCTCCGCGGTAATTTTAAAGTTTGATCTTTTGTATCGTCGGAGTTGAAACTGCATTATCAACTCGACGATGCAAAAAAATTAAAATAACAAAAATCTGAAGAAATCTCAATCGAATAAAATATAAAAATCGTTATAATATTTAAATATTGTATTTAATTTATTATTAAATCCTATTTGTAATTGCAAATATAATCATATTTAAATCATTTTTAAAGGACAAGGTTTCTATTTGTAAAATAAAACCTAACAAATTATAATAAAATAATGATTAAATTTTTTATCAAAAAGTATTATAAAAATTTATAATTATAACTATCACTAACCTGTGATTAAATTCGACGCGTGGTTCTACGCATTATATAGATATGATACATTATATACCATGATACAGATATCATAAATACTATTACCAATAAACCACATGTTGAACTATTTTATTCCTATAAAACTTAAATACTAATTGTAAATTAAACAATCAGTTTGATATAAACAGATATTTTTCGAGTATATATTATACGTGAGATTACATATTGCTACAATATATTAGGTGTTGGAATTAATTCGTAGCGTTTTTTAATGAAAGAATGTTATTTATTTCACATGAGCATTAAAAAATACATTAATGAAAGTACTTCCCATCACTTGTAAAACGCTACGAATTAATTCCAACACCTAATATATTAATTATTTAAAAATATATATATCAAATCTTCTATATTTTTTAGATAAATTTATTCTTTTTTTTTTAAATTAATATTTAATGTATGATATTAAATGATTAAAATTTTTCACATAAAATTATTTAATTTTTATACAATACTTAATTATCAAAGATAAACATAAAAATATTGTAATAAAAATTATTAATTTATGTTTATGAAACTGCACATTCCGTGTTTCAATGCGAATATTTTACCGATTCGCGAAAAGATTCACAGAAGTTCTCTCGATATATCAAGAACTGACCCAAACAACACAACGTCTAAAATTATGACGTAAGACGTCTTTAAGTCATCTTTTAAACGCAAAGAACATTTTATGATCTGATTTTAGACACTTGTTGTCTGGAGATTGATTGTGACACGTGACAATGTGCCAACCACTCTAACTTAACCAAGAAGA